AGGGTCTGTATTAATCTCTGTGTGTGAGGAGTGTCTTTAAGGTCTATATGAGGGTCTGTATTAATCTCTCTGTGTTGGTGTATATTATGGTCTATAATGATTCCCTCCACCCCCTACCCCACAGATCAGATCCTCCATCATTCCTCAGCGGATGTATGGCCCCACACCTACGTCTCCCAGGGTCTCTACTGCCTCAGCTCCTCGGACGCCTGGGAGCCAATGAGCAACGAGCCTTCGGGTGTGGCCTCCCCTGCTGCAGGCTCCTATGTGGTGGCAGGAGGGCCGTCCTCCCAGGGCTACGAGGAGAACTCCGTCTACTTCCAGCAGCAGCCCCAACAGCAGAACCCGCAGCCCAACCAACAGCACCCACTGCACCACTTGCAACAGATCCAGCACTACCAGCAGCAGCAGTTACTGCAGTACCAGCAACAGCAGGTAGAAATGAAAAGAACTAGCAGCTATGCCAACAGCTTTGCAGTCTGGGAATTGTAATTTTTCCTACTCCTCCAGCTATCAATCTGTCTGAAGTACTCAAACACAACGGTAGGGATCATAGAAAATGTGCATGGTTTTCTTACCGTGGCTGTCCCCCCTCTGTGTTGAAGATGGACAGGCTCAGCCAAACCCACTCCCTTCAGGCCACGCCCAACAGCACCATACACAGTCAGCAGGCGCCCTCTGTGCACACGCCATTGGTGGACCTCTGGGGGGCGAGGCAGACAGAGTCCTATCCGACGGAGGTGGGCGGCTACGTGGGCATGTCGGTCGGGGAAGGGGGCGTGGCCGTGTGCGAGGAGCCCTCGGTGGAGAGCGCGCCCCTGCTGGAGAAAGATGCATCGCAGGTGAGCCAATCGGAGGGGACCCCTCGGGACAGATCCCCCCCGCGCCGGAGCCCGACTTCCTTAACCGAGCCTTGTGTTTCCTGACCTTCAGACCACGGGTGATCTAGGGCGACCTTGAGAAATAACTGGAGACCCCTGACCTATACTGCCACACCAAAGAAAAGCCACCCCCCACTAGTCTATCGGATTTATCGAGCATCTGATAATCCGAGCAAAGGTGCAGAACCACGGTAAGTGCTCAGAATGGAGTGGTCGGCGGGGACGAGGCGCATCCGAAACGAAGCGATACGAAATCAGGTCTCTACGTCGGCTGGCGGGGCTTGTGGCGGAGGAGCAGCTCCGCGATCCAGGTGGACTTCAGAGTAGAGTCGCTGGTCCCGCTGATCAAGAGGAGCCAGAGGAGATGCTCCAGGCATCTGGGGAGGTTGGAGGTGTACCAGGAGCGACCCGCCAGAGGGGGCCCAGAGGCAGATCCCGGGCACGCCAGAGGGATGATATCTCTCGGCTGGCCTGGATAGGAGCCTGGGAAAGCCCCCCTGGTGGAGCTGGAGGCTGGCTTGACCCTGGCGACCCTCACCAGCGTTAGAAAGTCACATGGGAGGAGAGAACAGCCGCTCGGACCCGATTCCCATCTCCCCCAGCCGGCCAGGAAGTCCCGTCGCGCGCGGGGGTTGACTCCCGGCAGGTCTGGCACTGAGAGAGCCGGGCCGGACCGCGGTCTCATTCCGGGCAAACGTCCCTCCTGTCCCCGCAGGACGAGGAGGATCCCGAGCAGCCGAGGGAGGCGGAGACCAGCACCTCGCCGCGGGAGGACGCCGGCGCCGTCACGGGGGGCAGCAGCCCGGGAACGGCCCCCGGGGGGGAGCCATCGGCGGACAGGAAGTGCTCGGAGGTGACTTCCTCTGTGGCCCCCTCGCTGGAGGAGGGGGAGGACGGAGAGCCTGCCGAACTGTCCACTGCCATCATGGCCACCACCAACTGAGAGACGGGTGAGCGAGGCAGGGAGAGCGCTGGGAGCTGAGAGAGAGTCGACAGCGACACAGCCGCACGAGGGAGGGGAGAATTCATGGGGAATCCCTCGGGAATAAAGACACTGGGCTGGAAATGAATTCAAATAGTCATTATGCTGACTGAGATACTGGCCGACAGAGCCTTTGACAGATCAGGACACTGTCTATCACACTGACTGAGAGGCTGAGTGACTGCCACACTGACATACTGACAGGCAGTCAGTCAGTCAAGTGTGTCAGCACGTCAGCGCGTCAGGGTATCAGGGTTTCAATCAGTCAGCATGTCAGTGTGTCAGCGTGTCAGTACGTCACTGTGTCAGCCTGTCAATCAGTCAGCCTGTCAATCAGTCAGAGTGTCAGATTGTCAACGTGTACACGTGTCAGTCTGTCAATCAGTCAGCCTGTCAATCAGTCAGCGTGTCAGAGTGTCAATGTGTCAGCGTGTCAGTAGGTCACTGTGTCAGTCTGTCAATCAGTCAGCATGTCAATCAGTCAGTGTGTCAGTGTGTCAGCGTGTCAGTACGTCACTGTGTCAGTCTGTCAATCAGTCAATCAGTCAGCGTGTCAGAGTGTCAGCGTGTCAGTGTGGTGGATTGGCCGGTTGCCTGCCACACTCACAGATGGCGCTCTGACAGATGGATGCCTCTCCCCAGGTGACTCCAGACCCAGCGCCCGAGCCGAGGGGTGGACAGAAGGTCACAGGAGCGGGCGGAGGAAGAGGAGGGCGGATTGCTGGAGCAGACGAGCGCTGCAGTCCTGCGCGGAGGACTCCACCCACACGCGGGGGACATGAACACTGGGGCGCAGAGGGACACGGAGAAGGGACGACACAGCAAGCGCATGCCTTTTAAACAACACTGCGGGCCGGGCACAGGACCCGTCGCAAGACCATTTAAAAAAAAAATCGAAACAAATTCTATATGTATGTATATATGAGAAAAAAAATGTTCTACAGATCTAAAAACAATGAGATTGTGCAAACAGAAGGGATCCTACTGCGAAAACCACTATCTCGCCGATCTCCCGTTTCACTGATCAACACGTTTGATTTCTTCAATTCAGGGAACGATCGATCAATAGAGATTTTCTCGGCGGCTTTTTGCAGCCTTTTACCACCCGTGCAATGGATTTGCTTTTTTTTAAAAAAAATAAAATAAAACGTTTTAAAAGGACTTCCAAAACTCTCTTCCTCCGTTCCGTGGCTTTTTAAAGAATTCGGTCCCAGATCGATCGGCACCGGTGATCTTCGACAGTGACCGTCGGCAAACCGGGCAGCAGTTTGCAGACTGAAGGAAGACATTTTCCCAAACCACCTTCTGTTAACGTGTTGGTTTTTTTTTTTAATTACTATAGAAAACTTAATTGCTATTTGACTTATCAAATACATTTTGTAAACGCAGTTCTTCGACAGCGCCTCCCGGTGGATGGCGAGGGTGGTGGCGAGGTGATCGCTAGGCTTGTGCGTTGGCCCTTGAACGCATTTGCCGTCTTTTAACCATTCTGAAGCGACTCGTACATATATATATATAAAAAAAAGTTCAGATCAGCTGCGGGTTTTTTGCTCAGTGCCACGATTTTAGATTTATTCGCAGCCCCACGGCGGGTGTGGCTACTTTCCATTAATAACACTGCCAGCTGCATAAACTCATTGCGATCGATGTCGCCAAAGTCCGGGAAGCGATCTACATATTCCCCCTCAACGGAGCTTGCAGTTCCCAGCCGTACACAGCCGGTTTTATGGACACGCCAGTCAAACTTCTCCCATTTTTCCCCCAACAACGCCATCCTTGATGTGTGGAGCCTGACCCCCGCGCTGGCCCTGGATCTCAGATTGTCTTGCGTGGTCGGGTGGAGGTCAACGCAAAGGTCAAAGGTCAGGCCCCATCCCACGCGGCCTTTCGGAAAGTCGAGCGCGCGACCGCTGCGCGTTGTGCAAAACCCCGCCGCGGACATCCGCCACACTGGGGGACACTCCCAGCGCAGGGGCACCACAAGAAGCGTCATAGCCTGAGCCCTCAAAGGGACAGAGGGGCGCGATCGCATTCCCAGAGCCCCCGTTCATCTCGAAGGGACCCCCGCAGCACGTGGCTCCCCGGGACTGGGCCCCCCGCAGTCCCCCGGCGGCGGGAGAGGATACCGCGCCAGGTGAATAAAGGGGAGACCAACCGGGGGACCAGCCTGCGCGAGCGCGGGGAGGGGTCAGCACCACGACGCTCACAAACAACGCCTTTCCCAACAAGAGGTCGCCAGGACGTGGGTTCCATGGGAGAGATTTTCCGGTGAGAGAGCGCCTCCTGCTGGGCGGCAGCGGTCACTGTCCTCGTCCGGAAGTGCTTTACCCCCTAGCCTCTCTCCCGACGTCCCGGGCCCTGCCGAGCCCCACCCCCGACGGACCTCCTCTCCGAAATTCCCGAGCACGGAATAACCACCGGGGACTGATGGCAGAAATCCCACAGGAATGTCTCTGGGGGTGTGAGGACCTGTTCCCCGAGCATCCCGCTTTTTTTAATTTGTTCTTGTCGTCGCTGTGCCGGAGCTGTACTCGGGACTTCGACGGTTCCGGTGCTTTTTTTTTGGGGGGGGGGAGGAAGGCACTGAGTTTTTTCTGGGCTCTCAAACGGGGAGGAGCGCCGCTCGAAACCAGCTGGAGGAGAGGGACCCCAAACACACACACAAAAAAAAAAACCAACTGCGGGGAGACGTGTTCTTGAAAACCCGCGGGAGCGTTGAAGAGGAGCGATCCAGGGGAGAGCATGCAAGACGAAACGTCTGTTTCTCGGCACGTATACTGTCCATCCGAGGGACAGGATGACGTCCGGACCTCTGGCTCCTCCACTCCCTTGCATGGGAAACCTGTCCTCCTGTAAATGAATGTTTCTGTAAAAATGCCTTCAATCACGCTCCCCGGATGTGTTTCAGGGGGGCTGGTGTGCTATCCGGGTACCCTACGGTGAAATCGGGGCGCCCTGGAGCAGTGACCCCCTGCAACAAAAAACTGGGGGTGGAGACGCAGTGGCGTGTGGCCCTGGTCTGCGGGGGCTCCCCCACCCATACCGCCCCTCTCCAAAGACGCGCTGCCAGCGGGGTGAGCGAGGTGGCGCGGTCCGCGGGGCTCCCAGCCAGCAGACGCCCAGGGGCCCCGTGTTGAAAACACTCGGGCCCTTCAAGTCCCTCTGCTTCCAATCAGGATGCAAGGACCCTGGGGAGGAGAGCAGAGTGATGAAGCCAATTCATAGAGGAGGATTATTGGGAGACCATGATTGGTAAGGGCCAATGGGAAATTTGGCCAGGACACTGGGGTAACACCCCTACTCTTTTTGAGAAACGCCCTGGGATTTTTAATGACCACAGAGAGTCAGGACCTCGGTTTTACGTCTCATCCGAAGGACGGCGCCTGTTTACAGTCTAGTGTCCCCGTCACTATACTGGGGCATTAGGACCCACATGGACCACAGGGTGAGCAGCCTCTACTGGCCCCCCTAACACCTCTTCCTGCAGCAGCCTTAGTTTTTCCCAGCCGGCTACTGGCCAGGCTCATACCTGCTGAGCTCCAGGGGGCTGCCAGCTGGGAACTGCAGGGTGATATGGCTGCGGGCCATTGGAAAACAGGCCAGCGTGCATGTTTTGGGACAGCCCCCCCGTTTCAGACACCACAGGGAGCCCACCTCCGGGATCTGCAGCCCTGAACCCACAAGGGGGCAGAGAGATGCCCCGGAAGGGGGAATTTCACTGGGCGGCTTGTCTGGGGCAGTGATTGATCAGGGCACCAGTCTGTATACACGTGCACCTGAGGACATGGGGACAGAGATCAGTCCAACTCTGTTGCAAGCAATCACAGCCACCCTTTGCAAAATGTTCAAATCCCTCGGGTCTCTTGGGCACGCCTCTCCAAATCACTGGAAAAGGCGCACTGCACGGCGATCTGCTGGGCTTTTCCAGCAAGGGGCAGACTTGCCACTAACAAAACCCCCCACTTAGCCCACCGGACTACAGGATCTTTAGTGTGTACTAAGAAAACATGTCCATATCCAATACTAAGATAACGATTCAAGTATAATACTATATAATAATAATGCTGCACCCATAACTGGTGGCTCGCTGTTGCGAGTGCAATGTTACTCGAAAACCCCTATCACCCCGGTAGCTCGATAGTTATAAAAATTGCATGTCCAGCTATGCTGTTTTGTAACGCTCCTGCTGCACTTCCTGAGCTCTGATTCTAAGTGGGACATATAAAACTGCAGTGAATTAACATTTATAAGATACAGAAGAGACAGTATTTCCTCCTCCGCCCGTGCCTTAGCAATGCATGTCATTGCAGAGGGGTGGCCACCGGACCTGGCGGGGCTCTCGTTGGATAGCAACGTGCTGGAAACTGTCCCAGTGAAATCCTCTGCCCCTGGGACTCTATGAAGCAAGATGCCCAATCAGGTCCACAGTGAGTCAGTGTTACACTGCCTGTAGCAGGGTCCAGGAAATCACCACAGAGTCCTGAAGAGGTCTGGACTGACTGGGCCCAGTTGGAAGTTTACATGACTGAACGACAAGAATCAAGATCCTGAGGCTGGGCAGATGGTGTACTAAACATACGAAATACTGATAATGAACATTCTTGAACGGATGTTAACAGTTGGGGGGTTAGGGATAGTACTTCCTATTAACAACCTGAAGTGAACTGACATAGCCCAGTAGCCCAGTTACGGGGTTCAGGAATCTTCTAGTCCCTGT